TTACGATTTACTTATTTCGATGGAACTACAAAGCAAAAAGGAAACGCACCGTTGCTGTAGGTCTTCCATTTTCTTCGGTAACCACACGAAAACCATTCTTTAGAGTGTTAACCTCGGCAAATGGTTGATTTTCAAGCACCTCTTTGACTGACAGCGAGGCCACATTTCTCACCTAAACATCTATACGGAAATATCGATGGTAAAAACTACCATTTTAGAACAATAATCTGCAACTATCAAATCTGACTAGAATAGCACACACTGCGCACACAGCAGTTTTTAAAACTCAATTTTCCCACTGGCCTTGTGTGATTCATAAAATTCTTACGAACTGGAGGAATGGAGTAACAAAAGAGCACGATACCAAGTAGCGATATTAACTGGCTATTATTTACCAAATTATTGACATAATAAAAAATCTCTCGTAGATCAGACTTCCAAATGTCTAATACTCGCGCTTTACTGACGTTGTTCTGTAGCGTTAAGTCGGCGCTTCAGAGCCACACAAGAGTACAGGGAGAACCGTGTCTACCAGTGTTCTATCACGTTCATGAGAAGGTGAAATCCTCAAGCACTGGATTATGAGGAAATGAATCGAATGTAAGAAGTTCAAGAATCCGCAGAGTAAACTCTGATAAGGGGTTGTGTGAAATAAGAAAAGTAGAAGAAATGATACTTATATGTTAGACAGGGAGAACTAAAATACCGACCCCTTCCGCTGGACAATATTTTTTCATAAAAGGGTTAGTGATCATTCGAAAGCTTAAATCGCTGGCTAGCGCGGTACACAGCCGTTTTTCGAAAACACCCTTCAGTAACGTTGCTAAATTCAAAATAAAAGTTATGTATTACAACGGCAGCGCAATCCTACTATTACATCGCCGGAAGCACGAAAAGCAAATAAACGCGTAGAGAAAATCTTTGAGTAACAAATTCAAAAGTTCAGTCTGGAGTTTGTTACCAAGCGGAAAAGAAATTCTTAATCGAATGACAAGAATCGCACTTTACATACTACGTGAAAACGTATATCGATCGAACGATGACGAGGCTGTCGCATCGAATCTAGGGAGACCACGCACCCCAACCGTAGTCAGCCGGTAAACAAGCACTCCGAAGATGTGAAACTCGATCTTATTTTCATTGCTACACTGCAGTTAGACGGTCTTGTCAGAAATTAAGCGCAGCGTTGGAATCGCGGAAAGTTGCGCTATCGAATAATCACTAATAATCCAAAGAAAAAAAGGCTCTGTCTCGCGAGAAAAACGCGTGCGTGAAACACAAATGTTTTCCCTTTGCTGAAGCGTTATTACAAAGACCTTTTCAAGAAACTGCCACTTATCGCACTATCCAGATTCAAGCTTTCGAATGGTTACTAACACTCCTATGAAAATATATTGTCCAGCGAAAAGGATCGGTGTTTCATTCGGCGCCGTCTAACATATAAGTACTGAAAATAAATACAAATGCATGCGTATTTTCTTCTGTTCAGCCGCTGCGAGGTGTTATTGATATATTTATTGTATATCAGAGAAGCATATGACAATAAGATGGCGAATCTTGCCGAAACGTAAGTCACCACGACTATTTTATTATTCGTGGTGCATTATTAAGTGCATTGTTATATGCTTCGCTGATATTCATAAATAATATCAATCTCGGAGCGGCTAAACAGAAGAAAATACAGATTTATTCAAACTATGCCGGGGTTAATAGACAGTCGGTCCTGGAATACATGCATGCGTCAAATTGGCATACACAAGCTCATATATGCGCATATGTGTGCGCAAAAACATAAGCATAGATGTATGTGCATGTATACGTGCGTGTTTATGTACATGAGTATACGCTTAAGAATATACACACACTTTTGACCTAAGAAAAGCTTTTATGTGAGTGAAGTGCATGACAAAACTGACTTTTCCAGGCTCTAAGGAAGGTGATATCGCCGAAATGTCAGCCATTATACTTCTATTGTGCTAAATCGCTGTTGTATTCACTAAGTACTGATATCCTCCCAAATGGTTTACCGCCTCATCGTAGCTGGCAGGTGCTTCTGGGTATCGGACTGCAAGTACAGCGAGAGGTTGGACCCCCCAGCAGGTTCACCCAAGCTGAGAAGGAGTCCGACGGTACTTTATGGTTATAAGGGGAGCAATGAAGAACCGACCTCATTCGCTGGACAGGAACTTCTCATTGAAGTATTAGTAACCATTCGGAAGCTCGGATTTCTGGATAGAGCTCCACGTCGCCGGCTTTCGAAAAAGCCTTCTAAGCTGTCAGAGAAGGGAATTCTTTACGTTACAGATGCGCATATATCTCGCCTCGCCGGAAAGAGCTCTGATCTTTGGACTATTAGTAGTTGCTGTCCAGCGAATGAGCTCGGTTCCTCATTTGTACCGTTAGAACCACAAAATACCGGTCCGACGCTCCTACACGGAAAGCTCTCCTAGAAGTAATCCGTTCCAGGAATGACCGCCGTCTTGGTAGCTACTGGATGCAAGATGGTGACCACCTTCTTATCCACGAGGGCCGGCGAGTTCTCTAATGTGATGGCGACCTGTGGAAGCACCGGATAGGCTTACCTCGGCACTCCAGGGAAAAAACGGCTGAACCAGTACAATTTCCCGGGGCTGGAGCTCGCACTATCACTGGAGTCGGGCCGTCGGAGTATTCAAGTAAGTACTATCGTCAACAATCTCGGATCTAATCAAATCGTTATTATTTAACCGCTTTTTGCGGTGGTATGTTACAGGTATACAGCCAGTGTTATAGAGTGATGTGCAAAACTTTGGCTACAGGCGGGACTAGAACCCGCACCTCATTCTTTCCTGGAATGCGCGCTCTATCCGTTACACTACTGCCGCCCATTTTGCTCTATAACACTGGGTATATATTTGCCACATCATACCACCGCAAAAAAACGGTTAAATAAAAACAATTTCATCTGATCTATAATACCCCATATCTGTCACCGTGACTGGGTTCAATGCCAAGACCGACTACACGGGCCAGGCCGTTGACGGCTGGCGGTGCGCTTTTGCGTAGGAAGAGCGATGTGCAAAATGGGCGCCAATAGTGTAACGGATAGAGCACGCATTCCCGGAAAGAGTGAGGTGCGGGTTCTAGTCCCGCCTGGCGCTAAGTTCTGCAGATCACTCTATAACACTGGGTATAAATCTCGGATCTCCTTGTCAGGGAAAAACTCTGCATTGCTTATCCATAAGAGCATCAACAAGACTCTCTATGATTGTCATATAACAACCACCACTACAAGAGATATTTTGCGAGAAAAAAAGCACTACCTGAGAGTTGATCACTCGCCGAAAGGAACACGCTGCGATGAGCTTCAGCATCATCACCCTCGTTTGTTCTAAATAAGAGCGGCAGTGAGCCAGTAGATCAGGAAAAAATCAATACAAGGGCGGACGTTCAGAGATACGCGCACTCAGACCTAACCAATCCACCCTCGAAGCACCGAGGAAACAAAACAGAACCGCCTACTCCACCAGCAGTCCTACAGAAAAAAATTGAGTACCGTAATGGAATCATTCCAATCAGGACCATCTTCGTACGTCCTTAAAGGATTACACAATTTGAATCTCGTTCACTTTCGTCGTGGATTTTCGTAGCGCGATTTGTGTAGAGTTTAGACGTTTAGTTCTTGTTCTCGTTGGTATCGATCGGGTTTTATTGATTGGGTGGGGGTGTCGAGTCGATCGATATTGATCCGCGGCTCCTCCCTGTTGCATTATGTGGGCTGATTAGAATTATCCCAGACACCATAAATCGTCGCGCTATTTAGAATGTTTGTTCGTCATTTATATCTGATTTCAAAACGTTTTTTTTTAGATAGCGTCCTTTGTTCTTTGTTCTTTGTGGTTGGGGCTATCTACTGCTTCCGAGGACGCTAGTGGACAGTAGTGGTCCCCCATCTGTTTTATTAAGCCTAAGCCTAAGATTTCGTGAATCCTTATTTAGAGAAATCAATACAAAAAAATGCTCCCAAAATAGCTCGAATAAATAAAATAAAAATAAATAAAAATAGCGCGACCACAACTCCTCACAAGGATTGATTCTACTCTTTTGCCGTATACGTATGGCTCACGGAAAATTTTGGGCGATAAAAGGTTCTAATGTGAATCTGTAAGGATTTGGTCTTAGTAGAGCTGTTTCAACGATTTCCTATTGTATCGTTCGTATCGAGTGTTTTCTGAAGACCACAGCTCAAATTTCGATATGCCTGATAATTATTTTCTGAGCCACGCATGTCAGTGGTCTGTCAAAGAGGGTTGACATAGAATTTCATTGATTCTCGTTTTTTATTGCCTTCATTTTTTTTTTTGAATTGCGAAATGGTGAATCCTGGAGCGAACGCATCGGCCTGGTTAGACCTCTCCACAATGGGCCTTGTGAGGATTCCACTTCGTCGTTTGTCGAGGGCCAGCCAATTCTTAGCAAATTGGCCCTTGTTTCGAAATGAGACTTCCGCGAGGTCGGACTTTAGATTGAAGGACCGTTCGTGGGATATTTTCTGATATCTCATACGGTTCAATTCGGTTATGAGAGGACAAATGAAGAACCGATCTCATTCGCTGAACAGGATTTTTTCCGAGGAGTGATAGTAGGCATTCGAAAGCCGAGACTTCAGGCTACAGCCCCGAATCGCCGGCTTTTCAGAACACTCTTTTCTCAAGCTGTAACAAAACTATGTTTCAGACGCGCCATATTTCTCGCCGGACAGAGCTCTTTCCTTGGGCTATTAGCAGTGGTTTGTGTATGAGATCTGAGCACTCTGAAGAGGAGAAAATACATATTGAGAGCTCTGTAGAAGAACTAAGCAGATTATCAGTGTGGCAGCAGTGAGCTTAATTCACTCTGGAAGCGATGTCCTGTAATCCTTGGGATGTAACAGTTTACTGCCATACATTTATTTGAGCGTTTCTTGCGGTGTCATGGTCTTATTATATACCCAATAATGTGGAGTGCTGTGCAAAAATATTTGCGTCATCCGGGATTCGAACCCAGATCTCACTCTTTCCGGGAGCGTATGCTAACCGTCGCACCACCAACGCTCGCTTTGCGCAGCACTCTACGCTCCCGGAAAGGAAAGAGAATGAGATGTGGGTTCGAATCCCGGCTGACGCAAACGTTTATGCACAGCACTCCATATTATTGGATAACAGTTTATAGAAAAAGTTCTGTCGTATTGATTGAGAAAAGTTTTTTTTACACATGTATTTTGTGCGAATTTGAGCTCATCAGAAAGCTCGTTTTCTTGCATATTGAACGATATATCAATTGTCTGCACAGCTTCCAGTGTCCAGGGATGAAATTCATCTGCTGCTTCCGATACTACAAATTGGATGGATGAGCGAAAGCGACGTAGAATCATTTGGCATGCTTTGGATGGAAGTTTTGAAGTATCCGCCGTTCAGCCTAGAATCGGTGCCGAGTGGCTATCTTTTATTTCGTTCGATAGGCTACTTATCAAGAGAGAATAAGTTCCAAAAGTGTCCAAAATCGAGCATAATCCCCAAATTTTCTTCGGATCGAAGGATCGAGAGTTCTACCGCCGCGGAATCATTATGCTGCCGAATTGTCTTGATGTGGAAGGAGGCTACTTTGATTCTAAACTTGAGTTTTGTTTGGGAATCCTGTCGTTTTGTGGGAGAAAATGATTTTACCCACTTGCATTTTGTGCGAAGTTGAGATCATCGGAAAGCTCGTTTTCTTGCGCATCGAACGATCTATTATCTGTCTGCACAGCCTTCAGAATGAAGCTGTTCAAGGGAGAAATTCGTCTGCTGCTCCAATTCCACTACAAATTGGCTGTCAACGCTTCTAAGGCTCATCGACAAATCTGCAAGGTATGGTGACGAGATTTTCGATGTCTGTACAGCTCAGCGTTGCTTCAAGGCATTCCGTGAAGAAGAAAAGCGATTGACCAACAAGCCAAGAGAGGGACGTCTACGAGAAGTCGATCGCGAAGCAATCGTCAATCAATTTGAAGAGGATTCATCGATGAGTTGCCGGATGTTGACTGAGGAGTTTGATTGTGATCCAGTGACGATTTGGCACATTCTCTAGGGGACCGACAAGCAATGCTTGAAGTCAAAATGATTTCATGAATTTACTATCAGTTTCTCTTTCATTTCAGCTTAGTTGGTCTACAATAAAGATTTTTTCTTGCGTTTTGAAAATAAGACAGAGCTTTTTCTACGACCTTTTTCATGTCCAAGGCTGTTGAATGATGCGCGAAACCCTAAATTTCGAGTGGGAGTTAATCCCCGTATCACTCTTTTCGAGACGCGCATTTACCACCTTTTCTGCTGCCACTCCTGCTATACACGGTATCCTCAATATGAGAATGATACCGATGAGGTTGAGATTGAGCGAAACCTCCAAGTTTCATTGAAATCGAAGGGTCGAGAGTTTCACCGCCGAATATCTGACTGAATTGTCTAGAAGTGGAAGGAGACTGTCTCGACAATGAATTTGTCTCTTCTTTGAGTTTAACTGGATTAAAAATATTTTTCCATGAACTTTGAAAATGCAGCAAAACTTCTTTTTACAATTGATTAGTTTCTATATGAAACTACAGCCTGGCCTCTTAAATTTCAAACGTTTTTCAAGAGTCCAATAACATTTCAGCGTAGTCAGCGCAGTGTAGAACTGGCGACTGCCTTTACTACATAGCGTAAAGGTCCTCAGAAGCTTTTCAATCTAGCTATTGACCATTTCCATAGTTGCGTTGTACCGTTGAAAGAGTGTTGTCGAAGCAGGCGCTGATAGTGTAACGGTTCTAGTACTCCCCCACCCAGATAGGATGTAGTGAGTTCGAGTTCCAACTGACGCAACAGTTTTGCAAATCACTTTACATCACTAGGCATGTCGACCATTTTGCTGGTGCTCATTTATTTGTGATGGTTTTCCTGTTCTGTTTTGAAGGATTTCATATCTTGTGTTCTATACGAATTGGAACTTCTTGGGAATTCTACAGGGAAGTGATAGAAAAAAATCTTTAGAATGTCTTCACGGCATCGTATCGACCTCGATGATGATCGAAAGAGAGACCGTGATCGTGACAGAGAGAGGGACAGGGACAGGGACAGGGACAGGAAATCTCGTCGGTTAGTTCCTGATGCTTTTCTTTCCTTATCTATAAATATAATGTCGCCATAAGTAGGCTATCTGATTACTTCTTTTTTACTCCTTTTTAGCTGTGCGATGATGTTATAAGTTTATAAGAATACTGAATGATGTGTAGAAATTCAACCCCAGGCGAGTTTGAACCCATGTTTCCCGAAGATCCCGAGGACGCGTGGTACCAATTCACCCCTGAGGCCACTACGCTGCTACCACTCTCCCTTTGTCTTTTCACCGCGGTATGATAAGAAAGCGGTGATTGATTGATTACTAACAATTGAATGTCTATAGAGTTCAATTGAATTTGTACAGGTGTTCATCTATCACCCCAAACCCTATAATCGGCCCTTCTCTACTTCTTCCTTCCTTATCTCCTGAGATTTATCATATCCTTTTTAATATCGTCTTCTGGTTGTAATAGATCCAAGTTAATGTAATGGTTGTTTGATTCACGGTGTTCCTCTACCGATATGGGTCTCTGAGTGAATCGCGACTTTTTGGGTTGTCTCCTTTAGTGCCCGATAAAAGCGGAGAAGTCAAAACTTAATCAGAAACTGGTGTTATTTGAAATTTGTTCACTTCTTTGGCTAATGTTCAAAGAGGTAGAATTACAGGAATCAGTAAATTCCATGCTTTGGTAGGACAAGCTAAAGCAAAATCAAACGTTGTGGTGAAAAGCCGAAGTTTGAGGGTCAATTCAAGACATTTGTTGCGAGAACCTATTGATATAGTTCATTAGCGCTTACTCGTGCGACCCTCCACCTACGGAAACTTTTATTCAAGTGTGCTAAGTCGCTAGAAACTCTGTTTTAAGCTAAAGGTTTGAAAAAAAAGTCTCCAACATTGGTTGTGACATTGTCATTCATAAGATTAAGATGATAAACCTGTGGTGCGAAAACCGATTAACCAACGCATTCATATGGCCAATGGAGAAGATCTACTACGATTTCCTCTCTTGTATCTTCGTCAGCACTCCCACCTACCTCATTGTCATACTAATCGGAGTGCATTTGTTATCCTGCGCATCTTCCTATTGAATTTTTTGAAATGTTTTAATTGATTGGTTAACTTAAGTGGTCTTCACTTGAATCTCAAGCTGTCAAGACGGTGTTCAATGAATATCGGTTTCTCTGTCTCATTTTCACGCTCAGTAGGACGAGTGTATACTAAGTTTCTTCACTAACATTTTCCATGGAAATTATAGTGATCTTCGCATCCGTTTACTTTGAGGGATTCACTGGGTAGCTCTTGCGATGAAGATAAATGAGACTTTGTTTGTGTGCTCGATCAAGGCGGTGATTAACTTTTGCATAGCTGAGACAGCTAATAACGGTTAAGTCAGGCTAGTATTGAAGAAGGAACAACAGTAACCCTGTTTGAGGGTTAAAATATTGCGTTCACTGCATCTTTAGAAATATTGTCTAGAAGACCCATGAGTCTCAACAATGCGAAAACAAATGCTGAGTAGTCTTTTTTTTTACGTTGCCAAGGATTAGTTAGCTGTAAAGAGCTGAGTGGTTGAAGTAATTGTTCACTGTAAGTTGTGACGGTGTTCATGGCGGTGGACGTTATTGAGCTGACGGTAGGTGTCTATTATGAAGACAAAGTTTTTTCATACCAGCCTTTGACTTGGCTTAGCGGCGTCGTGACCAAGTGGTTGTGCTGCTCTTCGTGGCGCGCGGGGCTGGCCCCCCATCCACCCACCCCGAGCGCTCTCCGGCAGTTAGCAACGAAAACCCTATAGAGCGCCACAGTCAGACTATCCTCAAGATTGCAAGGACATGCGTTCAGTCGCTATTTTTATGACGTTCAAGAAGAAGACGAAAAAAAGAGCAGAATGCTAGAAGCATTAGGATCCGCACAGTGAAGGAAAGGATATTGTGAAAACAGTACAAATAAAGTAATAAAGTAAAAACTGGCTCAATTTTTTTAACTTTCTAGACAATCTCGTGAGTCGTCCTATCTGCGTAATGTTCTAATACACGGAACATGTAGCCATTAGCTCGCACTTAATCCGCCTTTCTTTCTTGTCCAAGAATGGCCTTCACAATCCCAGAACTTGCTCCTTAGTAGAGGACTAGTGTATAGAAAGTAGAACAATGACGTGATTTTGTCGCGTTTCTCAAAGCCGTGTTTATAATCAGTCAATTCATTCAAATGGATAGAGCGGCATATTGAATGATTTTTGAGGTCTCGTTCACGTTCTCCTGTCAAGAAAGAACGCGAGTCTACACCATCGCCTCCAACTATCACTCATAATAACAACTCAAACTCATCGGAGACTAAGGTAGAGTCTCTCCAATGTGAAGATTCTTCTTCTCTTGGAAAAATGATAATCTCACTCGAATGTCGTTTAGGTCAAAATCAATCCGTACACAAGGATGCCCTACAGTAAGAAGTATTGGCAAATTTGGGAGAAAACGCCGTCAACTTCCTGTTTGGGAGTACAAGGAGAAGTTTATGGAGATCCTTCATAACAATCAATGTATGTTTGAATTTCATATATCTTAAGAATTCTTTGTGGTTTTCGAGCGAGCTGTTCACTCCGTTGAAGTTGTTAATGTTTTGACTGAGCTGACGAGAATCCATTGATGTTATAGCCCAACTATCCTCTTTTGCAAAGCATGAGGTCTGGTAGGGTCACCAACGAGCCCAAATCAAAGGCTGCTACTTTTTCAAATCCTTTTTCTTATGTAGAATAAGGCGTTACGTCATTATTCCTCGTTGAAATATCATATCGTTTAGGTATGACTCTTGTGGGAGAAACTGGTTCGGGAAAAACCACCCAGATACCCCAGTGGTGCGTTGAGTTCATCCGTCAGAGAGCTATTCCTGGTCAACGAAGGCTAGTAGCCTGTACACAGCCAAGAAGGGTTGCAGCTATGTCGGTAGCTGCACGAGTTGCCGATGAAATGGATGTACAGGT